CTTGGTGCTTTCTCAGGTGGTCACGTTACAGTGCCTCTGACACGACCTCCCGCCCCTTCACTCTACAGAGGGGCCCGCAGATGCAGATCCCCCGACGTCACCTCAGCTCTGCTCCCCAGCGCCGTCGGTGTGCCTGACGTTCCAGGAGAAGCTGCTGGCGTTCGAGCGGGACCACGTGACCATGCCAGCGGCCCACGTGGCTCTGGCCAAGCAGCTGGCCGGTGACATTGCCCTGGAGCTGCAGGCCTACCTGCGGAACAAGTTCCCAGAACTGCCCTTCGGGGCACTCGTGCCTGGCGGGCCGCTCTACGACGGGCTGCAGGCGGGGCTCGCCGACCCCGTGCGTCTCCTGGTGCCCCTGGTGCTGGAGCCTGGCCTGTGGAGCCTGGTGCCTGGTGTGGACACCGTAGCCCAGGACCCTCGCTGCTGGGCTGTGCGCAGGACTCAGCTGGAGTTCCACCCCCGTGGGAGCAGCCCCTGGGACCGCTTCCTGGTGGGCGGCTACCTCTCCCCCCGGGTCCTGCTGGAGCTGCTCCGCAAGGCCCTGACCGCCTCCGTCAACTGGCCAGCCATCGGCAGCCTCCTCGGGTGCCTGATCCGGCCGCGCGTGGCCTCGGAGGAACTGCTACTCGAGGTGCAGCACGAGTGTCTGGAGCTCCCCGTGGCTGTGCTCCTGTCCACTGCCGGCGCCCAGGCCGGAGACCTCCTGCTGGCCTGGCCCCTGGAGGGGCTGGCCAGCAACCTCTGGCTGCAGGACTGGTACCCGGCAGAGGCCGCCCAGCTGCGGGCCCTGGATGAGCGCGACGCCGGGACCCGCCGGCGGCTGCTGCTGTTGCTCTGCGGCGTCTGTCATGGCCACCCGGCGCTGGGGCGGCTGGGCCGCGGCCCCCTGACCCAGGTGGTTCTGCACCTGGGCGAGCAGGAAGCGGACTGGGCTGAGGAGGCCCTGGCGGAGCACTTCCTGCAGGCCCTGGAGTTGCTCGTCGGCAGCCTGGAGCGGGCCAGCCTGCCCTGCCACTTCAGCCGTGGTGTGAATCTCCTGGACGGCCTGCGGGAAGAGGACATCGACGACATGGGCTGTGCGCTGTACTGGGGCCTGCAGGCCCCCGAGGGGCTGCTCTAGAGGCGTGGGCCCAGGCGGACGCCTCCCTCCAGGGCGTCGAGAGCACACTGCCCTTGCTTTTACCCCGAACAGGTCAGCGCGAGCTTGGGCGGCCCGCACTCGCACTCACCCCTCGGCCTCAGGGCCGATCCCAGGGCCTCGGCCCTCGGTAGCCACAGTGAGTCCCGGGCAGGGGTAAGGTTGCCTCTGTTTTTCTGTCCCAAGGGTGAGTCACGCTTCCCTCGGGTGCAGGCTCCTCCAGGCTGCTGGTGCTGGGCGGTGGGCACGGCCTGTGGTCCCCCAGGAGCCGGAGTCGCCTGGAACCCTCGGGATGCAGCTTTTGGCTGGCTGACAGGCTGGCGTTTTCCATGCTGTGTGTCTGGTTTGCTCTCTAACGTGGGCCAGCGGGGGCTCACCTGGGGGAAGGCCCTTCTCCAGCTGGGGGAGCTGAGGGTGTGTGTGCTGCCCACCTGGCCCGGAGCTGAGGGTGTCCCCTGGCTGCTGCTGGGCCCAGCCCCTCGGTGTTGGCACCAGCCGCACTCGCTGACTGCACTCTCCCTGAAGCTGGCTGGGTCGGGGGGAGGTTGTCTGCCTCCCCTCCCAGGTGTCTCTCCTCGCTCTGGTATCCTTTCTGCTGAAGCAAAGCTATGCCTCAAGAACCGTGAACTAGAATAAAAAGGAAAACTTCAAACGTCCACGGGACTCAGGTTGGGCTCTTACATGCAGCCACTTGAGGTTCTGTAAAGTTGACCAGAGGAGCTTGGGATCAGCCTGGAGGCGATGGATTGAATTAGAAAAGTCGGTTGCGTGGGGGGAGGATGTTACAGGATCCCCAGAGCGATGTCCTGCTTTAGTAATGGAACCAGCTGGCTAGGCTTCTGTTTCTTCTCCAAAGCCTGCCCCCTGGAGCCCACTGTGCTTTCCGGGACGGGCGGGGCTGCCACCCAGCCCTTCGGCCAGCACTGTGAGTGTGCAGAGAAACGTGGCCCCAGAAGTGGAGGGCGGGACCCCGCGTCTCGGTGTCCCCATAGGAGCCATGGCCGTGGCTAACTTCCTGTCACCACACATGGCAGACGAGGCCGGAGAGGGCTTGGGGCCACGTGTGCTGGTGGTGAGGCCACCGCAGCTGTGCCAGGCCTGTGCTGCTTCTCCCTCCCATCCCGTGTGTGTCCCCCTTCCAACTGGGATTAGGGACAAGAAGTGGGGACAGGCTCGGAGGCTTCCCTTGGTCGAGGGCCAGCACGGGCCAGAGGAGGTGCTAGTGTGTACCTCTGGGTGCAGGGCCATGCCTCGTGGGTGCTCACACAGTCTCGGTCTCCGAGCACAGAGGGTCACAGGGCAGGAGACTGGCTTCCCCGAGGGCCGTTAGGTCACTTGACTCAGGAGCTCCCTGGCCTGAGTGCTCTCAGCGGTGAGCAGCTGTGATGGCAGCGGAGGGTCAGCAAGGGGGCAGGCTGGAGGCGGGGCGGCCTTGGCCCCCTCCCCTATAAAACAGGGGTTCCAGAGTACCTGCTTCACAGGCAGCAGCGGGAGCGTTAACCCAGCACAAAGCGAGGCACCCCCGACCCAGAGGTCCTGGACACAGGGTCCAGCATCACTGAGCCCGAGCGCACCAGGACTCCGCTGCAGGCCTGTGTCCAACCAAGGTTGGGGGTCTTGGGCGCCGATGGGTGAAGGGCTGGCCAGGCGTGGCTGGGGAGCAGTCAGGACGCGAGTGGGGTCAAGGCCCCTCTCAGACGACCCGACCACACTCGCGGGCTCTCTGGCGGCCTCCTGCTTCAGGTAGGTCTCCGTTCCCCCTCATACCATGATTTCAGTAAGAAAAACCCAGAATTAACTAAAGAGGAGAAACGAGGTGCTCGGGGCGACGTCCCCTGTCCAAGGCCAGCATCTGGCACGCGGTCGTGCTGGGGCCTCCACGGTGGCCGCTACCCAGCTTCACTCTCGCCCCTTTAATGAGGGCGGTTCTGACCTGGGAGTTGCAGACCCTTCGGCTGAACTGGGCAGTCCTCGTCCCTGGCTTTACCAAGTGACCCGAAGCCAGGAGCACGGCGGTGATTCCACCTGCCAGAGTGAACAGACGGCCGGTGCAGGTGGGAAGAGTAGCGCAAAAGGGCAAACAGACACTGACCTACAGCTTCACCATCTACACCCGTTACAAGGCAGCTCAGCAACGAGTCATTCCGCGCACGAGACGCACCCTTTCTGGGTGAGCAGGAATGAGCAGGACCCCTCGGGACCACTGCGGCCAGTCCATCAACTGGGCACCACTCGTGCCCCAGAGCTGACCCAGTCAGTGGTATCAGGCCGCGCTATTACTAAGCAGAAAAAGCACTGACGAAAGTCTGCACAGGAACATTCTTGCTGAGGACTGCAGGTGAAGTGGGCGCACCGTGCTCAGGTCCCCAGAGGTCTCGCCAAACCTCCTGGCGGTGTTGCAGTCAGCAAGCCAAGCCGGAAAACCACCCCCAAGGCCCGGGGGGCCCTGACGGGCGGGGCTGGAGCTGGACGGGAGAGGGAAGCTCTCGGCCCTAATCCAGGGCCCCTGCCCCACCTCTGTCCCGTCCCCTCCAAGACAGCGGCCTTCAGCCTGGTTTAAGTCACGTGTGTCTGATGCATTTGCATTCTTTTGTTTTTGACCACGCTGCGCAGCATGTGGGATCTCAGCTCCCGGACCAGGGATGAAGCCCACACCCCCTGCGTTGGAAAGCAGAGTCTTAACCACTGCACCACCACGGAAGTCCCCGCGTTTGCATTTTAAAGTACATTTTTCTTTTGTAGTCAGAAAAAATAATCTTGTAAAAAACCCCAGTAACGTTACAGTTTGGTGGCACTTAGTTTACTGAGGACAGACGCTGAGGCTGTGGGGACAACACCCAAGGCCAGCGCAGGGCACCCGGGACGCTGCTCTGGGTCCTCTTGGCACTGCCGCCCGTTTCCTGAGACAGCAGTTCAGCTCGCGGGGGCCTCAGGCTCACTTGCCTGTGTGACTTCACAGCGAAACTTTCCAGGCCGACCCCGCACCCCCGCCCAGCGTGAACGCTGCTGGTGTAGCAGGGACGGTGCACCCCTGCCCCCTGCGGAGCCGGCCCCTCCCGCCTACAGGCTGGACGCGGCATAGGACCCCCAAATCTGCGGTCCTGGAGGGAAAGGCGGCTGATCCACCCCGGGGGCAGTGGGTCCTCCACCCAGCATCCTGAGAGGAAAACCCCCTCACAGCTTCCATCACTGTAACCAGGACGACGGCAACCCTCACCCCCAGAGAGGCCACCAGGCTCGGCAAAGGCACAGCCCAGGAGCACAGCAGGACCCCAGTCCCACCCGGCAGCTCTGGTCCTCGTGTGCACAGGAGCACCCTGCGGAAAGACTAAAATCCACAGATGCGTTCAGCATCGTTCGACTCAACAACAAAAGCACAAACACTGAAAAATGGGCAAAGGACTTGAAAAGGCATTTCTGCGAAGATACGTGAAAGGCCACGTGAGCACTGAAAGGATGCTCGACTTCAGTGGTCATTAGGAAGATGCAAGTCAGAGCCACGAGACACCACCTCAGGCCCACAAGGATGGCCACAATTAAAAGAAAAAAAGGGGGGGGCTTCCCTGGTGGCACAGTGGTTGAGAATCTGCCTGCTAATGCAGGGGACACAGGTTCGAGCCCTGGTCTGGGAAGATCCCACATGCCGCGGAGCAACTAAGCCCGTGCGCCACAACTACTGAGCCTGCGCTCTGGAGCCCGCGAGTTACAACTACTGGAACCCGCACACCTAGAGTCCGTGCTCCGCAACAAGAGAAGCCACCACGAGGAGAAGCCCGTGCACCGCAACAAAGAGTAGCCCCCGCTCGCCACAGCTAGAAAAAGCCCGCGCACAACAACAAAGACCCAACGCAGCCAAAAATAAAATAAACAAATTTATAAAAAAAAAAAAGAAAAAGAGGGAAATAAGCACTAGCAAGGATGCGGAGAAATAGGAAGCCTCGTACATTGCTGGTGAGAATGTAAAATGGTGCAGCTGTTGTTCTTCAAAAAATTAAACAGAATTTCACGACCCAGCAACTCCACTCCTAGGTGTAGATCTGAAAAGAATATAGAACAGGCGTTCAAATGCTTGTACGTGAAGGTTTACAGCCACACTGCTCACAACGGGGCCCATGCACACAGCGGACTAGTTCAGCTGTAAAAAAGCACAGAACACCGACACGCAACCACAGGGGCGACCCTGGAAGACACGCCACTCAGAGAAAAGCAGACACACGGCCCACGGGCCGCACGGTTCCGTCTATGTGAAATGTCCGGCACACGTAAAACCACAAAGTAGACTGGGCTGCGGGGCCGACCCACACCCACTGTCCGGATGCTCCAGGCGCAACTGCGGGCATCCCGCCCCCCAGCCAGGGCACAAGGACTGGTCTGAGTGAAGGGTTTGGGGCTGGGAGTCCCAAGACCTGAGGACAGTTCATTTCTCCACTAGCAGGGTGACGCTGGCAGCCTGTCCTCCAGCTCGCTGTCTAAACCACGGAGCGAAGCCGACCTGCTTCTGCTCGGCTCCCAAGGCTCTCGGGAGGCGGGCGAGGCGCACAGAGACCTCTGCAGGGTGTGGAGACGGGAAGCGTCGGAGTCTTGCACCGGCGGCTCTTCTCTGCCCCAGAGGACAGCGGTGCGGCCGGGGGAGGCCACTGGGGCCAGAGGATGGCAAGAGGACCCAGGCACTGCCCGGGGTCCTGCAAGTGCCCGTCACTCCTGCCAACTCTCACCAGACGCTACACCATCACCCACCAGGGTCAAGGGGTAGAATCCTTTATTGAGGCACATGAGCTGTGGGGCGTCCTGGCCACAGCAGCTTCGAGATAAAGAGGGATAACCCTTCTGTAGACACAACTTCTGAACAGGGGATCCCTGCCGTCCTACCCGTTCTCAGGACGTCTGTGGAGGGAGGCCCCTCAAGGGCTGGGCTGATTCCCGCTAGGGCGCCGACAGCATGGCCCCTGTGGATCGCAGGGGGCAGCCTCCATGGCGTCTCAGCTGTGGCCATGGCCGTTCCTGAGCCCCAGACACAGGGCCGCTGTCCACCAGGCGTGGCCTTCTTGAGAGAGCGGTCTGGACCCGGACTCCTTAGAACACAGGTCACACTCCAAGAGCAGCCACTTTCCTCAAAGCCGCCCTGGCAGCGCAGGGCCACCTGGCCCTGGAGAAACGGCTTGTTTCCCGAGACAAAAGCAGCAGGTGGAGGCAGTGGCCCCCTTGGCCCTACCCTGCCCTCATCTGTTCTGAGGACAGAAGGGACGGGTGTGTCCAGGCTGGTGGCAAAGGCTGCACTTCCGGGGTTTCTTGGCCGCGGACCCGGCGTCCGAGGAACCAGCCCGGGCCCTTTTGCTTCTGGCCTCCGGCTCCCGGCTTCCTCCTCTGGCTCCTGCCCAGGGGGGGCCTCCAAAGGTCCCTGCGGGGAGAGCGAGGGGAGAAACGAGTGTGGACGGCAGAGCCCCAGCCCTGGTAGGGGACCCGTGTCACCTACACGCAGAAGCAGGGACCAAGCAAGCAGCCCCCTGAGCGCGTGCAGAGCCCGAGCTCTGGGCCCTTCCAGTCCTCCAAGAGCCTCACAGTACTGGCCACCCCATCACCCAGGACAAATGACCAGGCAGCCCAGAGACCAGACACCACCTCCGCCCACCGGGAGCCCTTGTGTGTCTGCCGTGAGCGCCGAAGGACAACATCCCGCACGGCACTAGCGTCTCCAAGCCTCCGCCTGCCCCAAGCCTCTGGGTTCTCCCTGTGTGTGCAGACCTGCCGCACGTGTGCTAGAGTCACAGTTTCAGGCTAACACAGACCCTAGAAGGGTGGGCAGGTGCCCATCTTACAGAGGAAACAGGCTGAGAAGCCGCACCAAGTGGTTCAAGGTCACACAGGTGGGCCCCAAGAGAAAGCTCCCGCCGGGCTCCCTCACGCGTGACCAGGCTTCCGCGTGTCCTGGAGGGGCCAGGTGCCTTCAGGTGCGTCATTCACCTTGACCCAGCGTCCAGCAGCGGTCCTCCCCACACCCATCCGTGGGGCGCCAACCCAAGCTGTGTAACCCAGGGCAGGAACCAGGTATCAGGGCCAGGGCCTCCGTCTTACAGGATGAGGCTCCAATACAGAGCCCTCCAGGTTTACAAAGGCGGGAGGAGCGCAGGGCTACGGGAGCAGGCGGACCCAGGAGCCAGGCCTGGGCCGTGTCGCTGTGTGACCCCGACAGGTCCCGCCACCCGTCTGGGCCTCGCCCTCCTCTCCTGTGAGTCACAATCACAACCGCCACCCGATGAAGGTGAGAGAAGACACACAGATACAACGGCGTGGTGCCTGGCACACAGCAAGCTGCCCGTGACCTTGCAGGAGGCGTGACTGAGCGGGGAGGAGGAGCAAGGCAACCCGTGCCCCCACCCCACCACCCCTGCCCTCCTCGGGCAGGCCCCGTGTGCCCCCTCACCTGGGGCCACGTTCTCGTCCACCCACTGGAAGAAGCCGCACTGCTGCTCCCGGGGCTTGGCGCACGTGTGGAACTGGCGCCCCTTGTTGGGCCCGTCCTTCTGCACAGTGCGCGTGACAGCGGGCTGGCTGCACAGGCAGCGTGCGCCGCCGCCACCATCGCCGGGGCTTCCGGGCCCGCCCAGGGGCTTCCCTGAGCCCGGCGGGCGTCCCAGTGAGCCGCCCGGGGGTCTGGGCACCTCGGAGGGAGGCCCCCCTGCTTCTGGGTGGCCGCTGTCGGCCCAGAGGAAGAAGCTGCAGCCGCCACCGCTGCACTTGTAGAACTGGCGGCCCTGGTTGGGCCCCTCCTTCCGGACGGTGAGCAGCAGGGCCTCCCGGCCACAGTTGCAGGTCACCGAGTTGCCTTCGCCCTCGGCGGCGGGCAGGGGTGCAGTCCTGGCCAGAGCATTCGAGGGCCTGATGGCAGGAGGCTGGGGGTGGCCGTGCTGGCTGCTGCCCATTCTGTCCAGGGGCTGGCTGGCCTGCAGGTGGCCGGAGGGCTGGCTGACCGGCTGGCCAGCTCGGGTGGGCCCCCGTGAAAACCTGAGGTCCAAGATCTCCCTCAGGGTCTCGTCACAGCCACCAACGCAGCCGACAAATTCCAGTGGCATGGTTGGGGGAAGGCTGCCTCGCTTAAACTTGAACTTCAACCTAGTGAGGCCAGAAGATGAGAAAACACGTTAACTACCGGGTGCGAGTCTTCTTGGTCCACACAGGGCTGTGCCCACCCCACCTAGGAAAGCCACGCAAGGCGCAGACAGCCCGGCCCCTGCGGTCGCACAGGAGCGCAGAGCAGGAGGGAGATGAGCTCTAAGGCCCATCACCCGCCAGAACCCAGGAGCCTCTGGAAGGTGCACCTCCCTGTGCCCCAGTTCAGCGTGGTCCAGGGCCTCTCAATGTGACGGTACACTACTTGGTAGCGACACTAGGACGCACGCGGGCTTTGCTCTCATTCTCCTGTGTGCATGCATTAGGGTTTTCCAGAAGCTCCGAAACGCACAGTAAACTCAGCAGACTGACTGCAGATGGAGAGCTGAGAATCCTACCGTCTCCTGTTAAGCCAGACCGTTAAATTGGCAAAAATGGAAAACAATGCAATCTTCCTCTCGTTTTTTTCTTTTTTGAAAATAAGTACATTTTATTCTAAAAACATGTTCACTTATGTTAGAATGCATTTGTTACAAACACGTTAATAAACATTTTAAACGATGCCTCCACTTTAGCTGAAAACGTGGTAGAATCGTTATAAATATTAACTCACAACAGAAGCTCTCTGGGTTCCTCCGTGATTTCTGAGAGTTGAAGGGGTCCCATGACCAAAGGTCTGGGGACCAGCCCTAGGCGCGGGCCTGGGGCTTTCTGGAGGAGACCACCTTCCTCAGCCTCCGCGTCAGCCCACGGTAGGAGAGGCGGGGAAAGGTTGGGCTCCTCCAGGAGGTGCCAAGGAATGAGGGCCCCCAGGGATGGCACCCTGTGCCCATCCTGCAGGTGCCTCAGCCCCCAGCTCACCTGTAAACGGGGTGTGGCTGACACACTGGACACACGCTCCCGTCCCTGCTGGCCTCCAGCACACTGTCCGGGAACCACACGGCCGAGCGACATTCCGGGAACCCCGTGCAGCTGAGGTAGAACCTGGGGAGTGAGGGCCGGGGTCACGCAAGAGCTGCCGGAGACAGCTCCAGCTGATGACATGGGACACTCATGGTTCTGGAAGACACGGTGGTCACTGACACTGAGTGACAGGAAAACCAGCCTGCATTTACGTCCCTGAAATCCCCACAGTCGTACTGCTGACGCCTCTTCCTGCTTAAAAACAGCCAAGCCGCTGCCAGCGCCCAGACCACGGCAGGGCCCCGCTGGCCCCTGGGTGCTCCCTGAGCCCGCCTAGGCCTCCGGCGGCCTGGACACCTGCCCAGGCTGCACATGCTGCAGAGAATCCGATCCTCCCCCTCCCTGCAGCTTTGTGAGGAGGAAAACGGGCTCAGTGGGTCAGCAACCAGTGGGGTCCGCATCGCCGTCCACACACAGGGCGAGCGCCATCCATCCCCAGGGGACAAGCCCCGCCCTCACCAGCCCCCCACCCGCCCATTCCCACAGGGCCTCACACCCCCAGGGCCACCATTCCAGCCCCAACGCCCAGTCCAGGGGCTGGTGAAGCAGGCCTGCATCTAAATAGCAACGTGGGAACAAAAGGATGGGCCCTGCACAGCCTCTGGTGCTGGGCTGCAGGGGTGGGGTGGGGCGGGGCGGGGGGCGGGGCCGGGAAGGCACAGCTGGGCACTGACCCGCCGCTCTTCCTGGTCTTGAGGACCATGTCCTTGCCGCACTGTGGGCACTTCCTGACGGGCTCTGGCACAGCTGGGAAGATGGCTTCTTGCTGGGCCAGCTCCACCCCTGCCCCAAAGTACTGCGACAAGGCCTCGTCCAACCTGAAGAACCAGCAGAGCATTTACCGCGTGAGCACGCACGACCCGGGGAGCCGGCCAGTCAGCCAGAGGCCTGAGGTGGAGCACCGGGAACAGGGCGCCGTGCTGGCCAAGCGGCCGGCTCCTCCAACCCGCGGCTCCCAGGAGGGATCCAGCCGCAGGCAGGCGCTTCTGCCTCGCCACTAGCCCCACAGCAAGCAAACAAGACGGCCCGGCTGCACACACACCCGAGTGTGGGTCTGGCATCAAGTTTAAACCAGCGCATGCATTTCTTTTCAAAGTTGGTACGGGGTTAGGAAACGTGTTACTTCTAACAGAATACACACATGCTACTTATTACAGCCACCTCCCAGTGCCCTAGAGAACAGCGGGGTGCACACCAGCACCCGGTGAACCCACCCACGAGGCTGTGCTGCCTGCTAACTCAGGACAGGATGGAAAGGGCGTTTCCAAAGCCAACAGCCCAGAGAAACTGGACCAGGTCTTTCTGGTTACGGTCTCCAGACTGGCAAGGCTCTGCAGCAGGAACCAGCCAAACCCGGGAGGAAAGCCTGGAGGGGCCATGGCCACCGGCGAGGGTGAGCTGCCTGGCGGGAACAGCGGCATCTGGGGCACGCCGTCACCGGGGCTGAGCGGGCTTGCACAGGAGAGCAGGCCCGTACTCACCTCTGGGCTTTGGCCATGGCTTCGATGAAGACCTGCTTGTACTTCTGCACCTGCTGCTGCAGGACCACGAGCTTGTCCTTCTTCCCCTCGCAGATGAGCTTCAGGTCAGCCTCCAGCTCGGCCCGCAGGTCAGGCTTGGACATCTCGTAGCCCATGGAGTCATAGCCTGTGAACAAGGGCAGCATCGTGTGGCTCGGACACACCCACGGGGCTTCAATGACACCCCGCCCTCTGCCCAAGCTCGAGTCCCCGGCTCCTCACCTTCCACAAGCCCCATGCCCAGGTGCCCGGGGAGAAAGCGCTTGTCTGGCGTGAGCCCGACGTACATTCGGGCCTTGATGGTCTCGATGTGCTCCGCGTGTGTCGCGTCGGTACCTGCAGGCCACCCTTGTCACTCAGACTAACCCACGCCCCAACCCCGCGCAGCCCCCCTCCTCTGCCTGGACTTCCTGTTGCAGGTGACACACCTCCACTCAGAGCCGGCCACGTGGAAACCACAACAGCAGCCTCCTCTCCCCCACGTCCACACACTCCAGCTGTCAAGCCCAGCTTGGAAATCCCTTCTGTAAGCCCCCCTGCCCCCCGCCACATGTCAGGGCCCACATCACTCGTCCACATCATTACAACGTCCCTGGTCTCCTGGCTGCTGGTCTCTTCCTTCACCCAGCCCACTCTTTATGCCACAACCAAGGGGATCTTCTGAAATGTAGCTCTGCCACCAACGAAATGCACATCAAAACCACAAAGAAATACCACTTCACTCTTACTGGGACAGGTACAACCCAAAATACAGAGAGCGGCAAATGTTGGTGAAACCCCCGACTCTTGCATGGATTGTAAGATGGTGCAGCCGCCGTGGAAAAGTCTGGAGGCTCCTCATAGTGTTAAACACAGAGTCACCATGTGACCCCTCAATTCTGCAACAGGGATGTCCCAAGAGAACTGAAATCATGTCCACACAAGAACCTCTACACAAATATTCATAGCAGCACTATGCACAGTAACAAAAAACTAGAAACAACCCAAATGTCCACAAGTTGATGAATGGACAAACGAAATGTGGTCCATCCACACGACGGAAGAGGTTTGGTGGTGAAAAGGAGTGAAGCACTGAGACGCTACCTGGACGAGCCCGCAGAGCAGGCAACGTGGGACGCCAGGTGCAGAAGGCCACACACTATGTCGTTCATTGATAAGAAATGTCTAGGACAGGCACATCCACTGAGGCAGAAAGATGAGGGCTGGGGGGCTGCAGGGGAGGGGGACAGCTAACGGGCATGGGGCTTCTGAGGTGACAAAAATGCTCTGAAGTGGACTGTGGCCATGGCTGCACAATTCCATGAATCTACTGAACACTGGACTGTACCTCTGAGCTCAGTAGAGTGGACGGTGTGTGAATTATGTCTCAATAAAGCTGTTACCACTGCTTCAGTGTAGGTCTGTGAGCTCCTTTCTTAGAAATCTCAGGCGGCTCTCTGCTGACCTCGGGCACATCCGACCCCTGAGCCCGGTGTCCAGGCCCCGCAGAGTCGGGCTCAAATCATCTTTCCGGCCTTGCCTTCCAGAACCTCCCCCCACAGCATGTGCCTGCTGGTCCCCGCGTCCTTCCTCAGGCCCTGCCTTCATTCAGCGCGAGTTCTCACCACGAGGTTCTGAGGTCCCTGCAGAACCTCTCCCGATGCATCTAATGTTTTGGTTGGGTTTGTTTCTCCTGCTGGATGAGCCCTTGAAGGGAAGGACCAGGCCTCATTACTGTGTCCCCAGGGTCTAGACCAAGGTCAGCTCTTGTGGACCAAAGTTTTTATAAACAAATTATGGTGGGTGAACTACCTCTACTTGTACCTAAACCCACAGGCTTTCTGGGTAGCACAGTGATGGCCAGTGGGCTCCAGGCAGGGGCACAAAACTCACTCTGCAGTGAGGCGGCTGTGCCTGGGGGCCGCCCCTCCACATGCGCCCCCTGCCCTGTGGTGCTGGCCCTTCTGGACTCAGCTGCCAGAGGTAGTCCTTGAGATTGCAGAGCAGTGGTGAAAACTGAGGGGGGAAGCAGATCAGTCACAAGGGACCCACCTGCAAAACTTGGGCCACGGGACTTCTTGGGAAAAACAGTTCTGGCCCAGTTTTTTTTTTTAATCCAACTTCTGATTCTTAAACAATTATGGGAAATGCTTTAACAGAAGCTGAGCAAACGGCCACCCATGGCAAAGGGCGGGTGGCAGACTCAGATTCTGAAGGGCCCAGCACGTGCCAAGCAGGTGAGCGAAGCCAAGTGTGAGCGACAGAAAACGGCCACCACTCGAGGCTGCCAGACCTCCTGATGCTTCAAAAGAGTGTTTACGTGAATCCTGGCAGTTTAAATGTTAGCACCTTGTTAAGAATACAACAAAAACAACAAATTCCTGTGTGGGCCAAAAATACCAGTCAGTGTGCCCCAGGTGAGACTCCCAAGTAATGGGAAACACTATGTCCCTATGCGGGTGGTGCAGGGCAGTGGTTAAGGGCACCGACTGCAGACTTATCTGGACCCAGGTGTTCACAGCTCACACACTTTGTGACCTGAGACAAGTTCTTAACTGCTCTTAAGCTTCCCTTTAGCTACAAAGTGGGGAGGAGAACACAGCCCCCTCATTAGACCTGTCGTGAAGATCAGAGGAGAACTGGGCCCCACACCCATGAGAGGGCAAGAGCCGCTGGTTACCATGATGACAAGCTACTTACCGATGCCGTGCTTCTCCATGAGGGCGATAAGGTCGGCCTCAGTGAGCAGCTGGGGTGGACTGGTCTCCCCGTCCACCATCTCCACGGTGCTGGGCTGAAAGCAGGAGCCTCGACTGTAGACAGGGAGGGTCTACATAGGGCAGCAGATGTGGTGGTCAGACCCCTGCCTGGCGCCCAGGCACAGACCACGCTCTGTTCTGTCACGTGGTGCGGGGGCCGGGAGCACGACGGTCCCCCCTACCCGCTGTGTCACCTTTTCACTCCAGCGATCGTAGGGATACACGTCCAGATAGTTTCGGGCCAGGATGACGAGGCCGTGGGCCACGAAGCGCTCCTGTGTGATGTCAATCTCCACGGTGGTCTCCTGGCCCTGGGCATCCTGGGAGCAGCAGGCCAGGAAGTGGCGGACGATGAGCTCGTACAGTCGCTGCTCGTCCCCCTGTGGGGAGAAGAGGAGCCCTAGTCCCTCTAGACGCTGCGAGCAGTTCAGTCTGGCTGGTGCTAGCTTCCAGCCCAAAGCTCCACACACCAGAGCGCAGCTCCTGCAGCCCCGTGCCCAAGTGCAGTGTAGGCAGATCCCTCGCTGCTTGTGGGTTTAGGCCAATAAACTTCACAAGTGGAGTCCCCTTGCCATCAAGACTGGAAAGCAACTCCTCTGATGTAAACCCAGTCTGAGCAGAAACCAAAGCGAAAGCACCCAGTTTCCAAGAGGCCCAGTGTGTGTAGGACACACAGACTGAAGATGCACCGGCAGCCTCAGGCCTGTCACAGGGCTCGTGGTCATCCTCCACCCTTTCGGGAACAAGGACATAGTGAAGCCCCTCTATCAGAAGCCTGTAAGACGATCATACTGATATCCGAAAGTTCTCCTTCTGAGAATGTCTTCAAAGGAAATGTGACATCCACATAAATATCTATTATGCAAACGTTAACTGCAGTAGATCATCCTTTAAAAACAGATCTAGCAAAATACAGTACCTCTATGCAATCATCATATACCATACGTTAAAATATTTTAGCCTGTGGGGAAATATTCATGATATAAAACAGAAAACATTAGTTTACAAAGCTGTTTAAGGTTATAATTTAGTTGTAAGAATTATATACACACAAAGGATAAAAACGTGGTTCTCAGGAAATGGTGAGGTTACAGGCAATTTTTTACTTCCTTATAATCTTTTTTATTTTGTGAATTCTCTAAAATAAACATGTACGGCTTTCAGAATCAGAAAGAACGTGTGTTATTAAAGGAAGAACAAAACAGTAAGCCTGCAGCCGCCAAGCAGGCCTCAGCAGCCGTGGCCCCTGGAGCGTGTGCCTGGCTGAGAGCACGGCCGGCCCGTGTTACAGGCTCCAGGCGCTGGGTGAGAAAGCCCCCAGCCTGGAGTGCGGCCGGAGGGTGGCGGTGAAGTTTCGGGAAGGTGACGGAAACCGGCCCAGTCTTGGGAGGAGAAGGGTGGGGGCCGAGCACGGGCTCAGGGAAGGGGCCACCTGGTTTGTGGTGAGGGTCAGGGCAGCAGCAGAGGGAGGGGACGGAGTGCAGGGGAGGGCTAGATGGAGCAGAGCCCCCATGGGGGTCTCTCGGGAAGCCAGGCAGACTGTGGGAGGAGGATGTTGACATGACCTCTTTTCTGAGATGGAAATTTCGAACCCATTTAGCTCCGGAAGACAGAGCCCGCAGAGTAGATTCAAACCCCAGCCCTGACCCCTGACCTCCCTGCGGGTTCTGCGGCAGCAGAGCCAGGGAAACCAACCTGCAGGCTGTCCGTGTACTTGGTGGGGTGGATGGGAGGGTGAGCTTGGTCAGACTTGTTCCCGTTGCGTGGAGTGGGGCCGCCCCGCTCTAGAATGCTCTGGGCAAAGGGCCCCCAGCGTGGATCGTGGGTCTGTTCCTCCACCAGCGCCGTCAGGTCTAAGTCTTTGGGGAAAATGTTTGTTTCAGTTCGGGGATAGCTGATGTACCTAAACAAAGCCAAACAAACACAACAAGAAATTGCTGAATTGGTCTATAAACGACTAAATCAACTCAAGAACACTGGTGACACCTGCAACAGCCCGTCTGATCCAGGCAACTACGTTACCCACGCTGGGGAAAGCCCTGAGACGTGACCCCCGCAGTGGGTGAGAAGCAACAGGCGTCCTGCTGGGTCACTCCCGGAGGTCGGGGACAGATGCAAGGGCACACCTGCTCCAGCCCAGCCCTCCTGCCCCCGGGGCACTTGGGGCACTTCCCCACCTCCCCAGCATGGGTGGACAGAATGATCCCAGGACAAGCCCTGCGGTCCTGACCCGGGCGGCCCATGCTCCGTGGCTCATCTTAAAGAAGAGAAAGAACGATGCTGCCCCTGAACTACAAGGTGGACCCTGTGTGCAATTTTAAACATTCCATTAGCCACTTAAACATTGCTGGGACAATTTACATCCTTTTCTCACACGAGCCTTCAAAACGCATTATGTTTACACTCTCAGCACGTCCCAGTTTGGACAACCCAAATTTCACGTGCTCGACAGCCACTTACGGCGAGTGGCTGCCACATGGCTCAGTGTGGCCACACTGTCCCTGGATGGCACTGGGTGCTCACGACCCCCAAGGCAGGATGGTTTACAGCAGGCACACGAGTCCTAAAGGTGCCACCCGCCCCTGCCAGGGCCCCGGCGCCCCGCCTGCTGAGAGCTCGAGAGTGGGATTTGAGTTTACTCTGTGGAGTGTTATTTTAGGATTTGAGTGACTTTGAAATGCCTTTTCCATCAGAAAAGAGAAATCAAAGTCAAAATTCCTCTACTTGAGAGCCGGGTGGTATCTAGACAGTCTGGTTTCCTCATAAGCTCTATTTCTAAAGTATTTCACCCTGATAAAGGTGCATCAAAGTCTCTTCCCAGATGTGGGCGAATATTTACCCTTGAGTGTAGAGCTTTTCAGCAATCCTCATGGTTTCTTTAGCATTTATCCTCAACTTTCGAGAAGCCAGCTTCTCAAGCTCCTGTAAGATGTGTGGACAGGCACAGTGCGTGAGTCACAGGCCCCCAAACGCCCACACGCCTCCTCTTCAGAACTTCCTGGCGTCCCTCCAGCTGCTCTCACATGTCTGCGTGAAAGGCTGTGCTGCGGAAAGGTTTCCGGGACTGCTGGGCAGAGCCAGGCCCCAGCCCAGGGGTTCCCAGACTCCAATGTGCAGAAGCCAGAACCACCTGGGATGCGAGCAGGCTCCTGGGCCTGAGCACTAGGGATTCTCAGAGAGGAGGGCCAGCACAGAGGCTGGGAATCTGCGCTTTTAACAAGCGTCTAAAGTATCGATTCTAATGCCAGCAGTCTGAGACCCGCACTTTGGGGACACCATCTGAACCCCGGGGACATCCCCTGGGTGATGAACGCCATTCTTCCAAGCCTCGTGGGGGACCACCAGATGTCCCTTCCCCTTGGCGACCCTCCGACAATGCTGCTGGCTACACGTGAAAGCGTATTAACCAGTGAGGGATGAAACACTCATGCCTACAGTACACAATCAATCCGTAACCCCCTCCCATCGTCCCTCACCACGCGCGTGCACACGCACGCACACACACACACACACACACACACACACACACACACACACGCCCACCCCGCAATAAAGGGTGCACTGCCCACCAGTCCCTGCACGTTCTGCATGTCCAACCTTCAGAGGCAACCCTGACAGTAATTACACCCTGAACTTTCCTACAGAGTGGTGACTGGGAAGGGACACCCTAATGTGGTTTATTCAGACTTGTGTCCCGTTGGGTGGTTCTTCTTGGGATCTAAAAGATCTCAGAAGCCCTGTTCTAGGGTAGGCTAATAAAGTAGATATTTAACATGATGTTTACATGCATTATGCAAAAACATTAAAGAAAATGTTTGGGTGGAAAACACTAACTATTCCAGTAATGCTGTAAAAAATAAGGACACCGAAAATAAAGGAAGACACCAAAATTACATCAGCAATTACCTAAAGACGGAGAGGTGATGGGTGATTTCTATTCCTTGTTTCCAAAACCCCACATAGAGCAGTTATATCGCGTTTACTAGCTGATGTAAGAGGTCAGGCAGGCCTGCGCTCTGGGGCTTCTACTTCTAAGAGCATTCCTGTGCGGCACTGGGAAGAGGTGCTTCCGGCCACTGGGCCCCACCCTCCGCAGCAGAAGCCCCACCCCAGCCACAGAAGTCGGAGCTCCTCAGGGCTGGCACAGACCCCGAGAACATACCACAGTGTCCAAAGCTTGAGGCCTCCACTTGCTTTTTGCCTTGGACCTGACCTCCACCACGGTCGCCCTGGGATCCTAGAAAGCCAGGAAAAGCAGAGGCCACTTAAACCTGCTGGAGCATCCTCCCAGCTTTCCTTGGCCGCCCCCGGCACTGCCCACAGTGGCCCTGCTCCCCACCTCAAGACGTGAGCTTGCAGCCCACAGTGTGCTGGACACCAGCGCCTGCTTCTCACTCAAAGTAAGGCTCTGAGGGGCAAGTTCACAAGCCCCAAGGCGTCCACTCCAGAGCCTCGGCATCTCCTTAGTTTCCTGTCTACGCATGCACGGTGCTACTGTTTTGTTTTTTTTTTTAAATTCACGACAATACAGAGCTGGAAATAGGAGACGTTACATAATACAAACTGGAGAACTCTAATCTTAAGACCAACCTCACATTTTTAAGGGAATGCAAAAGGATAAAGAACTCAGCTTAAGTGATTTGTTCGTGAGGATATTTACAAATCAAAACTCAAATTTCTCTCTGCAAATAGACTGCGGACCAGGTGCTCTTGGACAAGGAGCTCCAAGCACCCCACCTGCCATGTTTCCCTGCACCACATCCTGGTAAAGCAGAAAACGGGCAAGTCTTTTTATTCAACAGACAAACGTGCAGACTGTGTAACCTTGAGGGCCAAAGGGGAGAGCAGCGGACAGGTGGGGCGACCCGAGAGGCAGCGTGGTCTGCAGGAGCTGTCCGAGCTCGGGCCCCACTAGCTCGAGTGTGTCTGCACAGTTACTCAACTTTCTCCAGCTTCCCCGCCTGTGGCATGGGTTGGCATTACCACCCCCAGAGGCACCACCAGGACTGAACAAATAACACATAACATACAGCGCGTCTGGCCTGTAGCAGGTGCGCAAGTTATTACTCCCCGATACCAAGTCAGTACTAAACCTGCCGGGGGCCAGAGCCAAGAGGCATCCCTGACTCACTAAACCTAGAGGCCTCTGAGTTTTATTCAGGTACCACCGCGTGCAGCCCCTGGCTTAACACAGGCCATTGTGTGCTGAGCGACGGGAAGCAGCACCACAGAGCGGACGTCTGAGGGTGGACCAGAGGCTGACTGGCCTGCGGCCTGAGCAGGTCTCGATCCTCCCACGGCCATCGCTGCTGACCACTCCCACCTTCACTCGGCGGTCACCATGGGATGCCTTTCTCGAGTCCCAGCCCTAGAGCAGTCCCTCCCCGCCCCTGGCCCTTCTCCTTTCCTTTACCCTACTTTCCTGTCCTGTCGTTATCACTGTATGACATTCACTCATCTGTGCCTTTCACGTCTCTGGATTTCATCATCTGACCAGTGGAAGGCGCTGGGCAGACGCCATCTAGCTCCACCCAGCTCTAGGATTCGGGTTTGGACTGGCCCAGCTGGTCCTTATCAGTCTCTGGTGTCAGTGTACTGCTTCACGAGGGATTTTAACTATGTGTTTCTTAGCATTTCTGGTTTCACCTAAAAGTTCTACAGGTCTTTCCTTCCACATTTCTAGTGCTGTTTTCATGGGGTTCTAGTCTTACTGGCACCCAGAAAGTGATGTCCTGGATGCAGACTGAAAGCTACAGTCTGGTGGGAAATGGGGCAGAGAGGGAGCGGCCTGGGAAATCACAGGATGGTCTTCCGAGATCATCACCTTCAGAGCCCTTCTCACCTCCATGCACAGCTGATAGAGGACGAGACAAGCCGTGTGGTTGAAAAGCCGATGCCTTTTCCAGCTGAACTCCACTGCGCCATCCCTGTGGTCGTGAGTCACTGTGGGGGGCACACAGGAAGGCCGTGACCCGGAGAGGACAAGGTCCATCACGGTGAAAGCCAAGAGCCACGAGACAGAGGAGACCACCTCGGACACTTGAGGTGGGTCCTGAACACAGTGCCGAGGGCGTCAAGGGCAGCGAGATGCAAACCACAGCCTGAATTAGCACCCAGGACTCCCCACGTGCCCTCAGCTTCTGCACCCTGAGCGGCCTCACCTCTGATTCTGTGGAAGGTTTCTGGCACAAATGCCTGAATGGCTTTGAACCTCTCCACCACGAACCCCAGGGTGGGGAACTGGCAGCTGCCATAACTGATCAGCTGCTCCGCCAACACCTCAGGGAAGATCTTCTGCAGCCGCAGGGTCTGGAACCTGGTGAAGGCAGCCCCTGAGGAGAGAGGACGGAGGGAAGGAAGGAGAGGCCGTGCACTGCAAGGTCACAGCCAGCTGCCACCGTCTGAGCCCGAGCCCTGCCCCCTGCCCACCACCCCACCCCTCACCGATCCGCAGGTCCAGCTCCTGTCTCACGTCCACGGCGTCGCTCACTCTGCGGTCGGGCTCCATCAGGTTTTCACAGGCCGCCTGGACAGCGCGGGCGGTGATCTCGGAGAAACGGGCTCGCAGCACCTGCAGGCTGGGCTTCACTGCGGAACAGACAAGGGCACCGGGGCAGGTCCCCCGTGAACGGAGGGTAAACCAGTTCATGAAGCTGCGAGGCAGCCAGTTTGACTGGTTCAGTTAAATCAGAGACATGCTGTCTAAGAGGGAAGCCTCACTGTAACCAGGCTGAGAGGTGTCAGAAACAGGAGCGAGTGCATCTCAGCCATTAGCTAAACCCTCTCCGTGAGCCTTTCTAGGTGTCAATCTCGTGCTCTCCTGGGCCTTTAGGGAAAAGGGAGATGTTAATTAAAAGGTCCTGGGGGAAGTTCATGTCCTGTTATGGATATAACACAGGACATGCACCCTGTCCCTGAGAGTGAATACTGAATATGTTTAATCCTAGGAGTCGGTATAGTTTGAAACACAAGAGCATTTAGGGAGGAGAGCAGCCCCCCACTCTCTGAAGCCCGAGAATGGCCTGCTTGTCACTTCCTCTAAGTTACCTGAAATCATTAAGCTCACTTCAACAGTTATTAATGTTCAGGCATTGTACAAGGAATATAGACAATTAAAAAACAAAACCAGAAAGAACATTCTAGAACTATTCTTTGTACTTTACATACAGTGTATACATTCTTTGTGAATATTTAAGTTTTTAATTAATTAATTAATTAATTTTGGCTGTGTTGGGTCTTCGTTGCTGCGCACGGGCTTTCTCTAGTTTCGGCGAGCAGGGGCTACTCCTCGTTGTGATGCAGCTTCTCGTTACGGTGGCTTCTCTTGTTGTGGAGCACGGGCTCTAGGGCACGTGGGTTTCAGTAGTTGCGGCACACGGGCTCAGTAGTTGTGGCTCGCGGGCTCTAGAGCACAGGCTCAGTAGTTGTGGTGCACGGGCTTACCTGCTCTGCGGCATGTGGGATCTTCCAGGACCAGGGCTCGAACCTGTCTCCCCTGCGTTGGCAGGCGGATCCTTAACTACTGTGCCACCAGGGAAGCCCGTGAATATTTAATTTTTAAAAGCAGAATATCAAGTCCCTGCTCTCAAGGATCTGGCAATCAACTGGAACCAAACACACAACAAGCCCTGGACTACAGCCAGTGAGCCGGGCAGAGGGACTCAGGACAGGGTGCCACCCCTGCCGCGGCTCCAGAGCAGACACTCACCAGCCTTGCACACGTGGATGATCTCAAACCCGATGTTTTCACCTTCTCTGTCGCAGTCGGTCCAGATCACCAGCACCTGGCACTGCCGAGCCTCTCGCTCCAGAGTTTTCTGAAGCGCCCAGTGGGGAAAGAGTGGTGAGAGCGTGATCTGCAGAGGATCGCACGACAGCTCTGCACTGGATCTGCCCCAGCATTAATGAGGTTCTTGGAGAACGCCAGCTTGGTGAGGAGACACGGAGAAAACTGTCCCCGCCGTGCGTGGTAAGGCTGGCAAGGCCACTAGTACTGCCCCCCACCTTAGACCCACCCACCCACCCATGAGCTTCTAGAAGACAGGGGTTTATTACGACGACACCATCTTGACGAGCCCTGAAACTCGGCTCTAACATACCAACAGCTCTAGGGGTTCTGATCATGTCCTCAATTAAAAAAAAAAAAATCACCCCCTAATCGAGCTTCATCCCAAAAAGCGCTCCTAGTCAGCAGTGAACCAAGGACAGGCGCCCTAACTGCCCGAGACACCGCAGCTCAGCGCCAGATGGCCTCTTGCAGATCGCAGTCTCTTCCCTCCGACAGGGGGCGGGAGGGGAGCTGACACTGATGACGCAACCACACTCACTCCCAGGGTTTAGTCAAGCAGCCGTTCCTCGTAAAAAGGCTCACTCGGTCCCTCAGCCGCTTAGCTGAAACGGCCTCATTTATGTAACGGGCGGGAATAATTTTTTTAAATCGTGGTACTTAGTTTAGTGGAAAACCTATCCTTCAATTTTAGTGCAGTCAAAATACAGAAACCACTTGGTTTCATTAGGTGGTGGTTGTTCAATATGTCTTCCAAAAGATCCTACCTTGATGTCTAAAAAATTCTCTGGGCAGTACTTTTCAATTTCTGCTTCAAAGAGGACAAGAGGATTGCAGCTCTGCCTGGAAAAGAAATGAAAACACACGAAATCCTAGCTCAGCACACAATGGGAGAAGGTTGCCCCAGTGCCCTCATGGGTGCATCCCAACCAGACAGAGTCCCCTGTGGAACGCCAGAGGATTACAGGCAAGGCGTTACCCTCTGGGCAACGCACTCCCCGTGACGATTAACAGGAGCTAAGAAGAAATTCTGGAACTTTCGTACGCATCTGCGATAGGGTGACTGCAATCCAATGCCTGCATGCAAAGGGTCTGGGCAGGGAGTTCCCTGGAGGTCCTGTGGTTAGGACTCGGTGCTTCCACTGCGGCGCCTGGATTCAATCCTTGGCTGGTCGGGGAACTAAGACCCCCCAAGCCGTGCAGCATGGCCAAAAAAAAAAAGGTCTGAGTGTTTTCGGGGAACGCACCTGAAAGTGGCTGTTTATTCTAAGCATATGGTAAAAAGTCACAGCGAACCAGTTAATCCTAGGTCACTGCTACGGTATCTATGGTTTGTGTTCCCTGCAAATTCACATGCTGGAATCCCGACACCAATGTGACGGTGTCAGAAGGTGGGGCCTTTGGCCGGTGATCAGGTCGTAAGTGTGGGCCTTCATGAAGGGGACTCGCGGTCTTATAAGAGACCCCGGCCGGCTCCCTAGACCCTCCACTATGTGAGGACACAGTGAGAGGTCAGCAGGCCACAGCCTGGAAAAGGCCCTCGAGGGACCATGCAGGCACTCCGACCTCCTACCTCCATAACTGGAAGAAACACATTTCTGTCCTTCATAAGCCACCCAGTGTGTGTATTTTGTTACAGCAGCCCAGTGGATTCAGTCATCCTACTGCTGTAAGTAACAAAGTAACACCGACATGCCTCACACTGCCTGTGATATTTCACAACTTACTGTCATAATCAGAACGCTCCCCCCCGCCCCCGGAGTCGTACTGACCACTTGCGAAACTGCATCTGGAAATCATGAGCCAGCAAGTGTCCCGAGACTGAAGTCATTATCATGGTGACGTTCTGAATGATAACAAAATTCAAGTTAGTCTTTTAGCAATTAGATTTTCCCAAATCATTCAAATAGAAGAGGGGACCTTCTATCAAAGGGAAAAGAAAATAGTCATCAGGGGGTGGGGGGAAGGGAGGATGAACAGGCAGAGCACAGAGGATTTTTAGGGCAGTGAAAATGCTCTGTATGATATTATAATAATAGGTACACGTCATCCAAACCCACAGAATGCACACGATTGGAGTGAACCCCAATGTCAAATGTGGGCTCTGGGTGACAGTGGTGTCGTGTAGGTCCATCAGTTGTAATGAATGTGCCATCTGGTGGGGGCTGATGATGACATGCAGCTGTGCATGCGTCGGGGCAGGGAGTATGTGGGAAATCTCTGCATTTCCTTCCTCTCAATTCTGCTGTGAAGCTACAACTGCTCTAAAAAGAAGTCTATTAAAACACACACACCCCAAAACCAGGTGACTGGGAAGAAACAAACAAACATACCTCTTCAAAGCCAAAACTATAGCGATACAATCATCATTCTAATTCTGGTACCGTGATGCCTTTTAAATTTAAACTATTGTATATTAGCTTCTTTTTTGTTATAAAGAGTTAAGATTGGGACCATATTTTATAAAAAAGAGGCTTCCAACGATCACCTGTCACCAGTGATCTTTAGGTCATAACAATAGTTTTTCTTAAAAGACAGTAACATATTCTACAAAGGCCAGGCTAATTCTCCTTGATTAAATAATTCTAAAATACAAGCAATTCAGAGAGGGCTTGTCATAAACAGCTGCTCTTTTTAGCCAAAACTAAAAACCCAAAGAATGTACACCAGAATGGCGCATGGATCTGAAAGCATCCTTCAACCACAGCATAGAAGTATTACAGCACCTACCTGGCCACGCAGACGATAATCAAATTCATAGATCTTGTTGAATCTGGAAAGTCCTTCTCTCTACAAAACAAAAAGAAAATCTATAAATTACAAAAAAGACAAATGATTCCTCACATAAAGATCAAGCAAATCCCTGATAAGTGGGAATATTAAAAATGCAACAGTACCTCCTATAGATTAAAACAAGGTGAAATCACTAAGACCATTTGTGAAGGGGCCCCTCCGAACTCAGTTACAAGCATGTACTTGCTCAAGTCCACAGAGCTTTCATGCTGCAAGGTGACCTGAGATCAGCTAACACCACTTAACATCTTTCTAGAGCTGAGAATGGACTTGTCCAGGATCACATGACTGTTACTCCAGAGAGAGGATTAGGACACGTGTCTCTTGACGGTTTTGTCCGTTCTCCACACACACCTCTCTACTTCCTGGCCATACAATTGCGCCAATAAACTGGTGTCCACAGGCAAGTTTTCACCTTCTGAACCTCAATTTATTCTGAGTAAAGTTACCTGTGAGGTCCCTCTGGCTCTGAAATCCAGTAACGCTATGAGCCGCAGTCAGGCCTGGGAACCAGCCCACACAGCTCCTCCTCAGCTGCACTTATGTGTGAACGAAACCGTCTCAGAGAAGATCCCACCTTCTACAAAGGTGTTAAAAGTAGCTATGCATGTGAGTTTCACACCAACGCTGCACAGAAGACAAGACACAGGCAGAGTGGGACTGGGGGAACCTCCAAGCGCCAAGAAGGATCGTGTCGAGAACATCCTCACACAATTCTTCTGTGTCAAACACTGAATGAGGCTCTTTTCGAGGCACAATGGCAAATTTAAAGACGGAATTTATCTTAAGAGTTCACTCGTCTAGTGTTGCCAAGAAAGGAAACTCCCCTCTACAAACTCCAGTTGCTAGTTAAGCCCTTTTAGTACCAGAGAAAAGAAATCGTTGCATCTCTGGGGTTTCTACCTCTTTTTAAGAAAGCACTGAAGCTTCCCAGACAAGCTCTTACATGGACCCTGATATGTAACAAGGTCCAAGTATTCTGGCTGCAACAAGGCTGAGCTCTGCTAATAGCCTAGCCCCAGTCCGGCCCCAGGTGGCTCCTGAGGTGCACGTCCGTGGTCTCCTGGGTCTCCCGGGAACAGTCTGGAAACCACTGTTCTAATCCTCTCCTAGTGGATGACCTGTCCAACAGCATGTGTGCGACCCGGGGCCAGGGCTCTCCCAGGCAGCCTCCTCCACCAATGGATGGTCCTGAGGAAGTAAAATGTTTTTCCTGGCATTTCCAACTTGCCTCCCCGCAGTTCCCAGCTGAGGACAGTACTCAATTACGTATGATTCCACCACTTGGGTGAGGTGCTCAGGGGAATGGGTTGCTCCCAAATTACAGCAGAGTTTTGGAGCCTAGCGAAAGAAGAAAACCTAGTAGACAGACCAAGAATGTGGCTTCTGGGATCTCTTTGCAGCGCCATCCACGCCATTAAAACTAAAGGAAAAAAAACAAACTCCCCCAAACCCCAGAGCAGTCCCATCTTCTCTAAGTGCTCTGTAGGGACTGATCACATTGCTGCCACTGAATCTACTGGATTCTTTTTTAAGATTTCTCCTCCTGAATATAAAGCCCTCAAAGATCTATAAGTTACTAACAGTGGTCACTGTGGACAGTGGGGCTGGTTTACTTGATACACATTTGTATTCGCTCAACTATCTGAAGTAGTTACTAGCGTTTGAGCACTACTTTTAAAGAAAGAAGAGAGAGATTCTATCTTGCGCCAATATTTTGGTGAATTTCTCTCAAATGTATACATATTTGTGTATATGTTTGAAAGTCTTTTCCATAACAGGTGTCTAACTATCTATCACAAGAAAGTACAACTTATTTTGCTACCCGCTGCCATGACCAGTCCTCGTTACTTCCATTCTTTGCTATTACAAAGCTGCAACGACTATCATCTGATTCTGAGCTCTGCGTGCAGATGTCTTAGCTCCTCCACAGAATTTAAGTCCCTTAAAGGCAGGGATTGCTTCATTCGAGGCAAGCCCTGTGTGAGGGATAAATAAATGAACAGACCCGTCACTGTCTTAGGGAGCGACACGCCATGGGAGAGAGGGATGAGCAGCAAGAGAACTCGACCCGTGATGATGGCCAGCATCAAGAGTGATGAGAAGGGCTTCCCTGGTGGCGCAGTGGTTGAGAGGTTGCCTGCCGATGCAGGGGACGCGGGTTCGTGCCCCGGTCCGGGAAGATCCCACATGCCGCGGAGCGGCTGGGCCCGTGAGCCATGGCCGCTGAGCCTGCGTGTCCGGAGCCTCTGCTCCGCAAAGGGAGAGGCCACAACAGTGAGAGGCCCGCGTACTGCAAAAAAAAAAAAAAAAAAAAAAAAAAAAGAGTGATGCGAACGCATCCGGAAACAGAGAAGGAAATGGATGGCGAGGACGCTGAGGAAAGAGTTCACAAAATAGGTTCATTTAAGTTGTCCTTTATTTTTTATTTTAAAAGGTGAAGAGTTCATCAGGAGAAAAGAGGGAAAATGTCATTTCAGGAAGAAGGACCAAAACGTGTGAAAGCACGGTGAACTTTTACCTTTTACATCCTGACTGCTTTCATCATTCCCTTCCTCTCCGTTCCCTCTGCTCCCACCCAGTGCTCCTGGGTCCCTAGGGTTCAGGCCTCTTGCCCCCCACATGGAGAACCCCAACAGCTGCCTCCCAGACTCTAGCCTTCCTTTCTTCAAGTTCTCTGTGGCCACAATGACTTTATAAAACACAAGTATGATCCACTTAAAACCTACACTGCTCATCTCAACTGATGCAGAAAAAGCATTTGATAAAAATTCAACAGCCTTGGGCTTCCCTGGTGGTGCAGTTGTTGAGAGTCTGCCTGCCGATGCAGGGGACATGGGTTCGTGCCCCGGTCCGGGAAGATCGCACATACCATGGAGTGGCTGGGCCCGTGAGCCATGGCCGCTGAGCCTGCACATCCAGAGCCTGTGCTCCGGAAGGGAGAGGCCACAACAGTGAGAGGCCCGCCTACCGCAAAAAAAAAAAAAAAAAAAAAAAAAAATTCAACAGCCTTCACCATAAAGTGAAGTGTGGCATTTACAAAAAACCCACAGCTAACATCACACTCAATGCTGAAAGCTTTTCCACTAAAATCAGGAACAAAACAGAATGTCTATTTTCGCCATTGCTATCCAAGATTACTACAAGTTTTAACCAGAGCACTTGGGCAAGAAAAAGAAAGAAAAGACATTCAAGTCAGAAAGGAAGAAGTAAAACTGTCTATTCACAGTCAACATGATCTTATAGATAACATCCTAAAGAAGCCACAATGAAACTATTAGTGCTAATAAACAAAGTCAGCAAAGTCGCAGGATCCAAGATCAACACACAAAACCCAACAGTAACGAACAACCTGAACAGCAAATTAAACAATTCCATTTATAACAGCATCCAAGAGCACAATGAAAACTGTAACACACTGTTGAAGGAAATTAAAGAAGACATACTCAGCCATAGAAAGAATGAAATCATGCCATCTGTAGCTACACGGATGGACCTAGAGGTTATCATACTAAGCGAAGTAAGTCAGAAAGAGAAAGAGAAATACCATATGATATCATTTATATGTGGAACCAAAAACATGACACAAATGAACTTATCTATGAAACAGAAACAGACTCACAGACACAGAAAACAGATTTGTGGTTGCCAAGAGGAAGGGCGGTGGGGGAGGGATGGACTGGGAGTTTGGAATTAGCAAACTATTTTATATAGGATGGATAAACAACAAGGTCCTACCGTATAGCACAGGGAACTATATTCAACATCCTGTGATAAACCATAACAGAAAAGAATATGAAAGAGAATGTACATACATCTATAACTGCGTCACTCTGCTGTACAATATAGATTAACACACATTGTAAGTCAACTATACTTCAATAAAATACATTGAAAAATTAAAGACATAAATAAATGGAAAGACAATCTGTGTTCATAGATTGGAAGACTTAATATTAAGACAGGAAATTCATATGGAATTGCAAGGGGCCCCAAGTAGCCAAAAAATTTTGAAAGAGAAGAACAAAGTAGGAGGACTGCCACTGCTCAATTTCACAACTTACTACCAAGCTACAGGAAATCTAAACAGTGTAGTACTGGCATAAGCAAAGACATACAGAAGAATGGGACAGAACTGACAGTACAGAAATAAACCCAAATATCTATGGTCAACTGTTTTTTGACAAGGATGCCAAGGCCATTCTATGGGAAACAAACAGTGCTGAGAAAAACTGGCTATTCATATGTAAAAGGATGAAGCTGGATTTTTACTTTATACCACATAGAAAAATTAACTCAAAATGGATCAATGACCCAAATATAACAGTTTAAACTCTTAGAAGAAAACACAGGGGCAAATCTTCATGACCTTCAGTTTGGCAATGGCTTCTTAGATATAACAGTGAAAGTATAATCAACAAAACAAGGAAAAACAGATAAACTGGACTTCATTAACATTCAAAACTTAGGTGCATCTGAGAACACTATCAATAAAGGGAGAAGACAATCCACAGAATGAGAACATCTGCAAATCACATATCTAACAAGGACCTAGTATCCTGAATATATAAAGAACTCTCGGGCTTCCCTGGTGGCGCAGTGGTTGAGAGTCCGCCTGCCGATGCAGGGGACGCGGGTTTGTGCCCCGGTCCCAGAGGATCCCACATGCCGTGAAGTGGCTGCGCCCGTGGGCCATGGCCGCTGGGCCTGCGCGTCTAGAGCCTGTGCTCCGCAACGGGAAAGGCCGCAGGGGTGAGGAGCCCGCGTACCACAAAAAAAAAAAAAAGAACTCTCATAGCTCAACTACAAAAAGACAATTCAAAAATGGGCAAAAGACATGAATAGACATTTCTCCAAAGAAGGAGACACAATGGCCAACAAGCACATGAAAAGAGGCTCAACATCATCGGTCATTTGGGAAACGCAAATTGAAACCACAACAAGATATTTCACACCCACCAGGACAGTGATAATTAAAAAAAGAAAAGAAAAAGAACAAGTGTTGACAGAATGTGGAGAAACTGGAACACTGATGGTAAGAATGTAAAATGTTTCAGCCACTGTGGAAAACAGTTTGGCATTTCCTCAAAAAGTTAAACATAGAGTTAACTTATGACCCAGCAATTCCACTCCTAGGCATTTACACCAAAGAACTAAAAACAGGTATTCAAGTAAAAACTTGTACATGAACGTCTATAGTAGCTCTATTCACAAGAGCCAAAAGGTGGAACCAGTCCAAATGCTCACCAACTGAAGAAAAGATAAACCAAACGTGATCTATCTATATGATAGGATATTATTCAGCCGTAAAATGGAATGTAGTACTAACATACTACAACATGAACGGATCTCAAAAATGCTAAGTGAAAGAAGCCTGACACAAAAGGCCACGTATTGTATTAATCTTTTTGTGTGAAATATCCAGAACAGACACAAATCTTTGAGGACACAAAGCAGCTTAGTGACTGCCAGCGGCTTGGAGAAGTGGGGAATGAGGAGTGACTACTTCATGGCTACGGGGTTTCCTCCTGGTGTGATAAAAACTGGAACTAAACAGAGGTGACGGATGCACAACATTGGGAAAGTACTAAACGCTGCCGAACTGTATACTTCAAAACAGTTGAGGGGCTTCCCTGGTGGTGCAGTGGTTGAGAATCTGCCTGCTAATGCAGGGGACACGGGTTCGAGCCCTGGTCCAGGAAGATCCCACATGCCGTGGAGCAACTAGGCCCGTGAGCCACAACTACTGAGCCTGCGCGTCTGGAGCCTGTGCTCTGCAACAAGAGAGGCCGCGATAGTGAGAGGCCCGCACACTGCGATGAAGAGCGGCCCCCGCTTGCCACAAGTAGAGAAAGCCCTCGCACTGAAACCAAGACCCAACACAGCAAAAATAAATTAATAAACTCCTACCCCCAACATCTTCAAAAAAAAAGTTGACACTCACGTGTAAAACACGTGGCTCTCTACTCCTCTCACAGTGTGCCTTCAACTGCCATGCTTGCCGTGCCCACTGGCTCCTTCCCCTACCATGCCAACTCCCAGCTTTTGAACTTGCCAAGCTGTTTCAAGCCACTGGGTTGTTCTTTGAACATGGCGTTTCCAGTGTCTGCTAAAACTTTCAAGACTGAGCTCAAATGTTCATCCAACAAATATGGATTGAGGGCCTCCTGTATTCCAGACACGTGTTAGGTACCAGGGATACAGCATCAACAGCACATTATCGAACTGTAACTGGGAGATGCCTTCCAAGTAGGACAGGGTGAGCTTATCACACAGCACCCTGACCCAGCTGGGGGAGAGGGATGTGAGGAAAAGCTTCCCTGAAAAAGAGATACTCAAACAGAGCCCGAAGGATACACAAGTTAGCTCTGTGTAGACGGGCCCGTCTCAAGCAGCCTGGAGCCCTAGAAATGGGCACAGCCTGGGGCTGGTCACCAGGACACTCAGCTCCGGAAAAGAGGTGACGCTGTCAGCTAGCACCCGCACAACTTCGGCTCCTGTTCCCACCATCCACCACGGGAAGCAGAGACCTGAGGACCCTGTGATGTGAAAGAAAAAAGAGCAGGGAACGTCCACCCATGCTCTGGGAAATCTCCAGAAAACCGTTTCAGGATCCACTTTTGTAATTGAGAGTGTCCTGACAGCTCTTGAGGCCTCGTGTCACCTCCTTCCCAGACCCTTTCTCACCGTTCCTCTCCTTTGGGCCTTCCGTGTTCAGAACACACCTGATCCCCAACTCGCCTGACTCTCGGAATTCGTTAGTAGCAACGGAACAGGGGCTCGGGCGGGTCGCCCTGTCGGATGCACCTAGACTGTAGGGCCGGGCGTGCAGCGGGGTACCCCGCAGGCTCGAAAGCAAGTCAGGGGAGTGTGGCCTGCGGTTCCGAGTCTCAGGCCCGCTTGGCATCCGCCGCCGTGCAAGGCGGACCCAAGGTCTCCAAGCAAACGAGAAACACGTTAACTCCGTTTCTAAACGCCCGTCGGTCGCAAGAGGCACCCGGAGGCCCCGGCCCAACGGCTAGGACCCCCAGTGGGAGCAGCGGCCGCTCGTCCCCGTTCCGCCCGCCCAGCGGTCTCCTCACCCGCCGCATGCGGCCTCCGGACAACAGGTCCGCGATGCCCTTGGCCGCGTCGTTCTTCTCGGCCACGCAGAGGATCTTCCGCACGCCTCGCAGGGCCACCTCCATGTCGGCGAGGGTCAGCGCCCGGCTCCCAGGCCGCGGCAGCCAGGTGAGCGCGCGGCGGACGACAGGGAAGATCATTCCCAGGTCCCGCGAATCTGCAGTGCCACCCCAGGCACCCGGAGCCTCCCGCTAACCCGCAGTCCCTTGCGCAGCCCGCTTCCGCCCGCCTTCCCGCCGCTTCCGTCGGCGTGAGGGGCACAGCCCCGCGAACTACAACTCCCACGCTGCACGGCGCGGCCACCTCACTCCCCTCCCTTCCCGCTCAGCTCTCGGGAGACGCCGCTCTCCGGATCGGAAGTTGACGCGAACGCTTCCGGGTCTCGCGGCACGATGTCTCGAGTCATGTGATACCAAGATGGCGGCGCCGCGGTAGCAGTCTCTGGGTTGTGGCGTCCGGGGAGTCGCGACGGTTTCTGCCCTCGGGCCGTGGGGGCTGCTACGCCTGGATGGTCCGTGCGGCGGCCCGTACCCCCGCACTGGGCACCTGTTCAGGGCTGAGGCTGTTGCCGTGGTGGTGGGTTCTGGGGAGTGCCGGTGACCTCTCTGCGGGTGCCCTGCGCCGGCTGTGGTCGCCCGAAGAGTAGAAGGGCAGCCGGCCTCCCGGTCTTCCCGACTCGCGGAGTTCCTCAAGCCTCCGAGAGCTCTGGAGGAGCCACAGCTCTGAGGGGCTGCGGGAGTTCGAGCCCGCGGGTATGTGATCGGCTGCCTCGTACCCCTGAGGGCGCAAAGAAGCCCGTAAGAACTTTGCTTCCTCCTCCAGAGGCCTGGCTCCCTCGCTTTGGCTACCCCCGCATTCATTCCCACTTCCTCTCAATGTACTCACCATATATCTGGAAATATGATCAGCGCCCCTGACGTGGTGGCCTTCACCAAAGAGGACGAATACGAGGAGGAACCTTACAATGAGCCGGCCCTGCCCGAGGAGTACTCGGTGCCGCTCTTCCCCTTCGCCAGCCAAGGAGCCAGTCCATGGTCCAAACTGTCCGGGGCCAAGTTCTCTCGGGACTTCATCCTTATTTCCGAGTTCTCTGAGCAGGTGGGACCCCAGCCCTTACTGACCATCCCCAATGACACCAAAGTTTTCGGTACTTTTGATCTCAATTACTTCTCTTTGCGGATCATGTCTGTGGATTACCAGGCCTCCTTCGTGGGCCATCCCCCTGGTTCTGCCTACCCCAAGCTGAACTTCGTGGAGGATTCCAAGGTCGTGCTGGGAGACTCCAAGGAGGGGGCCTTTGCCTACGTGCACCACCTCACCCTGTACGACCTGGAGGCCCGTGGCTTCGTGAGGCCCTTTTGTATGGCTTATATCTCAGCAGACCAGCACAAAATCATGCAGCAGTTCCAGGAGCTCTCAGCTGAATTTTCCAAAGCTTCAGAGTGCTTGAAAACAGGCAACAGGAAGGCATTTGCTGGGGAACTTGAAAAAAAACTGAAAGACCTGGATTACACCAGGACAGTGCTGCACACCGAGACAGAGATCCAGAAGAAAGCCAACGACAAAGGTTTTTACTCATCTCAGGCCATCGAGAAGGCCAATGAGCTGGCCAGTGTGGAGAAGTCCATCATTGAACATCAAGACCTGCTGAGGCAGATCCGCTCGTACCCTCATCGGAAGTTGAGGGGGTCCGATTTGTGTCCTGGGGAGATGGCGCACACCCAGGATCCGCCCAGCCAGGCAGCCACTACCTCTGACCCCGAAGAGTCTGCTGACAGAGACCATTACACTTGCAGACCCACCTACACCCCAAAACTCATCAAAGCAAAGTCCACCAAGTGTTTTGACAAGAAGCTGAAGACCTTGGAAGAGCTCTGCGACACCGAGTACTTCACCCAGACCCTGGCCCAGCTCAGCCACATTGAGCACATTTTCAGAGGAGACCTGTGCTACCTCCTGACCAGTCAGATCGACAGAGCACTCCTGAAGCAACAGCATATCACAAACTTCCTCTTTGAAGACTTGGTAGAGGTCGATGACAGGGGGGAAGAGAAACAGGAGAGTGCACCCCCTAAGCCCAGTCACGACAGGCCGCCTTCCAGGTCTGTAGAAGAATGTCCAGTTCCTCAAGTGTTAATTAGCGTGGGCTCCTACAAGTCCAGTGTGGAGTCCGTGCTAATCAAGATGGAGCAGGAACTTGGGGAGGAGGGGTCCAGGGAAGTGGAGGTGACAGAGTCAAGCAGTTTTGACCCCCAGGAAAACTTGGACTACTTGGATATGGACATGAAAGGAAGCATCAGCAGTGGAGAGAGCATTGAGGTTCTTGGCACGGAGAAGTCCACCTCTGTGCTGTCTAAGTCTGACAGCCAGGCCAGCCTCACGGTGCCCTTGAGCCCCCAGGTGGTCCGGAGCAAGGCTGTCAGCCACAGGACGATCAGCGGGGACAGTATTGAAGTCCTCAGCACCTGCCCCTCTGAGGCCCTCATCCCCGACGACTTCAAGGCCAGTTACCCAAGTGCCATTAATGAAGAAGAGTCCTACGCAGATGACGGTGGGGGAGCCATCCACTTCCAGGCAGGCCTCAGCCCGCCGGAGCTGGGGGAGGCCGAGGAGGGCGGCTCGGGGGTCACCCCGTCACAGACAGACTCCTGCTGCATTGGGAGGGAGGGTGGCACTCTGCGGGTGCCGCTCTCCACCCCAGGCCACACGCTCTCTGACGAGGACGGGGTCGTGAGTGTCCCCCCGCAGCGCTACCGGCAGAAGGACCAGGAGTTCCACATAGACTTCTCGGTGGAAAATGCCAATGCCTCTTCCCGAGACAGCGGTTCCGAAGGCTTCCCTGCTTATGAGCTGGACCCGAGCCACCTTCTGATCAGCCGGGACGGCAGTAAGACCAGCCTGGATGACCGCTCCGACGCCACCAGCTACGGGAGCAGCGTCATCTCCTCCAGCTCCGACAGGACTCCCTCTTCTGTTCCTCCCACTGGCCCCTCTTCTGAGAGGCATAAGAAGAGGGCGGGCCAGAACGCCTTAAGATTCATCCGCCAGTACCCCTTTGCCCACCCAGCCATCTACTCCCTGCTCAGCGGGAGGACGCTCGTGATCCTCGGGGAGGAGGAGGCCGCAGTCAGGAAGCTTGTGACCGCGCTGTCCATCTTTGTCCCCAGCTATAGCCTCCACGCCAAGCCCGTGAAGCACTGGGTGTCCTCTCCTTTGCACATCACGGATTTTCAGAAGTGGAAGCTTATTGGTCTGCAGAGGTAATTGGTCACAGGTGGTGGGGATGGGCCCTGGCTGGTCAGAGATGAGGCTTCAGGTGGCCGTCCCTCTGGGTGAGGTTCACGAGTCGGTGTGGTGGGCCCAGAACCAGGAGGCCTGGCTTCCAGATTGGCCCCAGCACCAACTCGCTGTGTCGCTTTTGGCAAATCCTCTCCCTTTTCTGACCTGTTGCCTTGTCTGTCACATGAGGGGTTGCAGTTCCTAAGTGGTTCCCAACCTGGTCTGCACCCTGCTGTGTCAGAATGGTTTGGGAGGATTTTCTAGAATGCCGCAGGGTTGCGCTTGGGTTGGCCTGGGGTACGACGTGGAGTTCGCCCGGTGTGCAGCGAGGTTTGGGAACGACTGGACCGCTGGGTCTCAGGTCCCTGCTGAGTCTCTAACTCACGCCATGGGGTAAATGACTGAGGCGGGGTCTGCCTCTGAGGAGGGCAGGGGTGCTGGCAGAGGCAGCCGCCCCGGCTCTCCTTCCCCTGTCCCCTCTGCCCCAGGAGCCCATCCCCTCCCCCCGCCCCCTGGAAGCTTTCTCCTTTTTCCCCACGTCACCGGCTTGTGCTGTAGCAGGTTCTTTTGGGTTTTTCCACGTTCTGCTTGTCTGGCTCGGGGGACTTCTGCCCTGGCGTGCGCACTGGGCTCACTTCTCTCCCCGCACCTGCCTTTGCTCACCTGAGACTCATGCGCGTCGAGCTGGGTGATGGTAGGAGTCTACTCTCTGGACTACGGAGAGGGCAGGAGGCCTTTCCTCCCTGTGGCAGTCAGCGCCTTTATGCGGCTCCCTGGCATCCGTGAGGTCACCGTCCCAAGCCGCCTCGTGTTCGCCCTGCTCACGGCCACCTGACTCACTCGATCCCTGGCCGCCCCGCGGGGGCATGGTGGTGGGATTCAAGCCCGGGGCGCTTCCACGTCCACTTCACTCTCGGGCCGTGCTGGCGGGGCTGGGGTACGAGCTGGAGGGGCCCTGCTCTGGGAGAATTCGTGCTCCGGAGGCCAGAGCCCGGCGGCACAGGGAGCAGAGAGCTCTGACGGGGGCACCTCACATGGGAGGCGTGGGACGGGTGCCCGGAGGAGGTCTGGGGTCTCTGGCTTGAGTGGCAGGGAGGCTGGGGTCGCAGTGGGGGAATAGTGAGGACGGGCCTGCCAAACAGGGGCAAGCCCAGCCCGTGGGCATCGTGGGAGTGTGGACGCAGGGCCGAGGCTCAGCGGGTGCCCGGGCCCCCGCGCCCCTGCCGGCGCCAAGTTTGAGCAGGGGTCGGGGTGGGGGCAGGCCTTTAAGGGACTGTGTTTGGCTGCTGTTCTCGGTGGGATGACGGGCGGGCGGCCCCTACACACACACCTTCCCTTCTCCAACTCTCTCCTCTCACCCCAACCCCTGACCTTTGATTTTTTTTTGCCTCAAAAGGTGGAGAATCTAAAACACACGTCAGTTTATCGACATCACCTGGCTTATCCAGGACCAGGTTCGGGATGGCCTTGCCCTTTCCAGAGGCTTCTCCTGAGCTTCCTTCCTTAGAACGCGGTGGCAGGCAAATGAGGTGCATCCTTCACGTCAGTTCCACTCTCCTGGGCACCCAACTGCAGTGCTGTGTTGAGAAGGATTCTGCGGCCCGGCGTGGCTGCACTGGGGAGCCAGCTGTGATCAGTCACGATGTCTCTGGGATGCAGGCGGGGGTAGCGGCAGGTGGCAGCGTCCCTGGAAGGGGGCTGTGAGCTGCTCCTCCGCAGTGGGCACCTGGGCAGCGCCTTCCTCCCTCCTGGGAAAATAGTAGTCATTTGCCAGATACTTACTGAGAGCCATTACAGGCCAGCCGCTGTGCCTGGAGCCAGGATACAGGTGCGTCAGCAGGGGGGCGTCGCGTGACAGGGCTGCCCTCGCTCCCGTCCCAGCGTCACCACCCCGTGGGCTGGCGCTCCCCCAGGCTGTTTCCATTTGCACGAGGAAGACCTGCCTGGTGCTGGCAAGTGTCGGGGACCTATCGTGTCTGACCTGCGCCTGCTCTGTGCAGGCGCTGCTCTGACGTCCTGGGGGGCAGTGGAGGGGGGCGCCGATCGCCGTGTGGAAGGCAGGCCAGGTGGCCGGGGTGGAGCCGGGCCCTCGCCTCCAGACTTGGAGCCGTGGAGGGTCCCTCCAGGAAAGCGGGAGGCCCGTCAGCAGTGACAGCTGAGACCTTTCTAGGGAATGTCTGGTGACTCGTCCCACGAAGCCCTCCCTCCCACACCCCTGAGCGCACATAGGTGCTGGGAATCGGGAGATCTGCCCCCGGAGGGCCCTGCTCCGGCGGGCACCACGGTCGACGGGTCAGGGACCTTGCCCCCCAGGGCACGTGTCACTGGAGGGTCGGCCGAGGGGCCAGGAGGAGAGAGGGGACTGGATTCGCTGCGGCTCACCCGAAGGCATCCCGGGCGGTGAGCAGCGGACCCGGTGGGGCGGCGCCATGAGGGGACGAGCCGTGGCCCCAGCTGTCGGGCGTGGAGGCTCCTGCCGCTACCCTGCGGAGCAGGGAAGGGCTGCCCCCGGGATGCACGCAGAGCCCCGGCCCCGGGGGTGCCCAGAGCTGCAGGTGGCTAGTGAGACGGCCCCGCAGTCAGATCCAGCACTGAGACGGAGAGGCAGGTGGAGGCCCACCTGAGGGTCAGCATTTAAGGGTGCGAGCAGAGGGGTGCCTTTGTGTGTCTACGGGGCTCGGTCCCGGGTGCTGGATCAGTCTGGGATCCGAGAGCTGTGGCCTAGGACAGTCCCTTCCCCCTGCCCGGGCACTTGGACTGTGTGTAGGACTGTTCCTCAGGACTCTTACCCCAGAACCACCAGTGGCATTGGCTCTGGATTTTTCTTTTTCCACTGAAGTAGGCCCTCTGCCTGGAAATGCTTGTCAGTCAGATCAGACATTTGTGGGTGTAAGAGACGGATAAACAATCAGGTTGGTTTCCCACGATTATAAATCAAACCCAGCAATAATCGGGTTGCTTACTAAGCAGCAGTGAGAAGGCCTGGACTGTTTGGAAGACAGCTCCGTTCTGCGCGGGGAGGTGCTGGTGTTGCGTCAGAGGCCTTGGGTTGAATCCCGGCTCAGCTGCCTTCTACATGGGTGACCTAGGACAAGCCACAGTCCCTCTGCGGGCCCAGTGTCCTCATCTGTGCAGAGTCCCCCCGCCACCCCAGCTTCAGATGGGCCGTAATGAAGTTCAAGACGGGGGTGGGCGGGGTGCTGCCCGAGGGACAGAGGCCCAGCCGCACCTCCTCCCGTGTCATCTGGCCTCCGGAGGAGCTTTGAGGGGAGCCAATGAAGGAAGAGTTTGGAGGCGCAAAAGAGGTGGTGCCGCCGTGGGCGGGAGTAGGCTGGGGCGCCAGAGCCTGGGGAGAGGCTGGCCTGAGGTGGGTCGCAGCCAAGTGTAGGGCAGGAAGATGAGGTGAGGCACTTAGCTCGTGGCCCAGCCCCCTGGGGGGGAGGTAAGGGTCACCCAGGAGCGGGCGGGGAGCCGCCGGCAAGTCTGACTCCTCGTGGCCTGTGGTGGGGGGCCCGGCCCCGCTTGCCCCTGCGCCTGCCGTGCTCTGCAGTCCCCAGAGCCCACCTCTCTTAGGACTCCGAGGCCCCTCCTCCAGTGCCTTCCCAGCCCGCGGCCGCTGCTGTGGACACGGAGGCCATGCCTCCCCTCGCTGGGCCGGCTCGTGCGCGTGTCCTTTCTTCCCGGCCAGGCCAGGCCTCAGGTCACTGCCTGGAATACGCTAGGCGCACGATAAACGACTGTCAACTCTACAGGAAGAGAACACCCATGAGGGGAAAGTATGATGAGGTGACCTCAGTCCCAAGAGACCGTCAGTCCTTTTACAACTACTTCACAAGCCCCAGCTTCCAGAGGAGCGTCAGTGTGTGAAGCGGCTGGTCAGCCAGCCGTTTGCTGGGCTCTGCAGGGTAATCCCAGCTCCTCTGGGAGACCTGGTCTAGACGGGGTGGTCGGGCCGCTTACTGAGGCCGACACTCCGGCCTCCTTCCCTCGCTGAGTGAACCCGGCCTGCCTGCCTCTGATGTGCCGGGCACGGCATGGGGTGTGGTCCTGGGTCTGCAGGAGCTCCTGGCCCCACACCGGTCAGTGCCAGGCCGGTGGCGAGGGCCAGACGCTGTCCTGAGCGCCACAGCCTGTGCCTCCGCTGTGACGCCAGAGGCAGGACCATCGTCCTTGCCTCACAGACGAGGCTCGGAAGTTAAGGACCTCGCCCCGGGTCACAGAGCAAGAACGAGAGGAGCGAACAGGTCCGGGAGGGGCCCCACGGAAAGCCTGGGGAGGGACAGCTGGGGCGTCAGGGGCAGCAGGAAGCAGGTCGTCAGGGCCTCGTGGGCCACACTAGGCACTTGACCTTGGTTGTGAGGGGGTGAGGAGCCTTGAAGGTCGTGGTGGCCAGACCTGCCTTCCAGAGTGTGCCGGCGAGTGGGGCTGGGTGGGGGCTGGCCTCACGGCAGGGGCCCACCCCAGCTTCTGCCTCCTGACCTTGGCCTGTGTGTTTCAGGGTGGCGTCCCCCGCCAGTGCCGGCACTCTCCACGCCCTGAGCCGCTACAGCCGCTACACGAGCATCCTGGACCTGGACCGGAAGACCCTGCGCTGCCCCCTCTACAGAGGCACCCTGGTGCCCCGGCTGGCGGACCACCGCACACATATCAAGCGGGGCAGCACCTACTCCCTGCACGTGCAGAGTGTGCTCACGCAGCTCTGCGCCAAGGCCTTCCTCTATGCCTTCTGCCGCCACCTGCACCTGCCTGCCCGCGGCACGGAAGCTGAGGGGTTGGCCGCCAGCCGCCAGGCCAGCTTCTTGCAGCTGAACCTGGGGCTGGTGAACGAAGACGTCAAGGTGGTCCAGTACCTGGCAGAGCTGCTGAAGCTACACTACACGCGGGAGCCTTCCGCAGCCGGCCAACCCGTGCTCAGGTTCGACTACGTCCCCAGTTTCCTATACAAGATCTGAGGTCAGGCCCGGCCACTGTGACCAAGACCTGTGACTCGGTACGGGGAGGGCGTTGGCATGACCGGGGGTCTTCTGAGCTGTTTAGACTTCTGGTGTCGTTGGCGGGAAGGAAACCGAGGTGGCAGCCGTGGTTCCCAGGTGGCTCTGGGCAAGGACGGTGGGGGCACTGGCGCCCTGGTGGCATCTGGAAGGACGGTAACAGCTCGCGGCCCCTTGGAGAGTGGCCTGGGGTCGGGACTGGGGGCCAGGGCAGAAGAAAGCTTCGGCACTGTGATGAGGGACAGGGAGGCGGAGCCTGCAGGGAGGACCACGCCGGCCCTCTTGCACAGCAACATCAAGGGGAGCAGCCGTTAACTGGATTATTTGGTCGAAAGCAGGACAATGGAACGTCCATTGCCTAGTGCAGACCCCCAGCCGGACCTTTCACGTGCCCTCGTGGAGCCGCCCTCCCAGGGGAGGCCCCTGGATGCTCCCTGCCCTGTCCTCACGTCCTCGCCAGGCACGGAGGGGCCTGCCGCTGGGCTCCCAGGCTCAGCGGAGTGACCAGTCACTGGCCCCTGGTCATCAGAACCGCTGTCGTGGGGGCCTGGGCACAGGCTTCCTGCTGTGTGGGCGAGGAGCCACCAGCTGTCCTGGGGGTGCCGACACTGTCCTCTCGGGGAGGGTCTGCAGGTGGGCTGGCGCTCGCCCGGCAGAGGTCACCGCAGACTGTCGCTACCACTTCACTACCTCACGGGGTGTCGCGGGCACGGGGCAGCCAGCGGGCTGGGATCTCCTCCGGGAAGGCCGTGCTGGCCTGGAGCACACGCACTCACAGCAGCTCGTTCCGCCCCAGCTGAGTCCCAGCCCCACTTCCTGTTTACCCACCAGGACCCTCCTGACACAGTTACCACTGGTGTGTGTAGGTGGATGGTTTTTTGCAACCTTGAAAATGTCATACTTTTCTTCTTTAAGTTGTTTACCCCTAAGCAGGGAGAACTCTTGGTATTACTGCTTTTTAATTTTTTTCCCCAAGTTGTGGTAAAACGCACCTGAACCAGCCATAGTGGTTGCTCCTGAGCATGCGTGCGTGTCTGCCAGGGCCGTGTTCTGTGTCGTCAGAGTCCTGCTGTTGAGACCTGGTCCGCCACCAGCTTTGCAGCACACCACAGCGGTCAGGACCCCCGGTGACCAAGGAGGCTTCGTATCATCTCTTTCCCGTGGCCCTCCCTGCCCAGGCTTCTGGTCAGGGTCCCCATTCCTGCCAGAGTGTGATTCTGCTCCGGAGGCCGTGACCAAGGCCCACTGTGACAGGGCTGCCACCGCATCTTCTCGGGTCCTCGCACCTGTGCTGTCACCTGTGTCCCTCAGAGAGGCGTCTCCAGGGACCACATGGCAGCTTCCGAACGTGCAGTGTGGGTGCTGGTGAGAAGGCTGCCCTCCTGTTACCATCGCCCCCCTTGTGTTCAGATGCTGCTTTGTTTTCTAGGTAGGTGGCTAATTGCATCTACTTGGGCCTCCTGGGACACGAGCTTGTGACACCTTATCTCCGAGGGAAGAGCAGTCCATGGGGCCCAAATGACCAGATGGGAAGCGATCATGGGCCTACCCCTGTTTCGTTCCCGGGCCACCAACATGGCCTCTGTGGTTCACACCTCACACCTGGGAAGCCAGAAAGGGCAGCAGGTCAGTCACACTGGCCTAGAAGCGAAAGTCCACTCTGGAGGGTGTTTGTGCAGAAGCTCCGCCTCGGGCGAGCCCTGCCGGTGCGAGAAGGCCCGGCCATGGGGCGGCTGCAGAGAGGGCACCCAGAGCCCCTCTCCTGAGCTGTTTCTTCATTGAGGAGTAGAGCTGTATTCGCTGACTAGTGGCTGAACTCCAGCATTTAAATTTTGGTTAAAATCCAGCTTTGCAGCGTGGCAGTTTCACAGAATGCTTGATGCCAAGTATGTTTCTCTTCAAAGGGAGCTCAAAGGGGAACCAGGCCCTCCCGGCCCCGCCACGCTGGGGACTGGAACCTGCCAGGAGTCTCAGATGCACCTGAGTCTGAGTGGTGGGGGCCTGTGCAACGAACTCATCTCGTCGGGAATCTTAAGAGGTTTTCCCTGGTAATAGGTCAGCAAGCGTCCAAATGCTGAGAAACGCTTCAAAAATCAGAGGGTGTCAGTGCCCTTAGTACTTTTTCAATTCTAAGTATTGCCTCGAAGGCCCAGGCACCAAAACCTTGAGGTTTGTTTCAACTTCACTTCCAGTCCATTACCAGCCCCCCAACCCTGCCTTTTTTCTTTTTCCAGTACACGGGCCTCTCACTGTTGTGGTGTCTCCCGTTGCGGAGCACAGGCTCCGGACACGCAGGCTCAGCGGCCATGGCTCACGGGCCCAGCCGCTCCACGGCACGTGGGATCTTCCCGGACCGGGGCACGAACCCGCGTCCCCTGCATCAGCAGGTGGACTCTCAACCACTGCGCCACCAGGGAAGCCCCCACCCTGCCTTTTTAAAGCAGTCCAGGTTAAGAAGAACCTGCACAGGCTGGCATTTATGCAGTAGTGATTTCCAGAAGCTTCACGGTAGACATCAGCTGAATCCTTTTCTAGCACCTGTGGCCCTGGGGACCCTACTCCTTTAGTAGAATCTGGAAATGGGCTGTGATAGCCCAGCTGCCATTTCCTATCTAGCTCTGAATTTCTTGCTTCAGATCAGTTACTGTGTGCAAAGTATCATAGACTTCATCCCCAAACAAGTAACAAGTCCCATGTCAAAATCCCAGGATGGCCGATAGATTCTCCCCAGAGTGCCAGGGCTGCTGCAGCTCGTGACACATCCCTGGAGGCCCAGCGGCCTGGAAGATCTCGCACGCAGCTCGCCACCCACTCCACCACTGCTGGGCGCGTGCCCCCCCCCTTCCCAGCCTGATGGCGCCTGGCCGGTCAGCTTCTCCACATGGCCCACGTCATCTTTGCATAGGCAGGAGCCCTCCTGGGCTGGTGCGGTCCATCAGTCCATGTGGACAGCCTTCGGAGGCACCAGCCCCCCAAGCCAGCATCAGCTCTTACCTCCCATCTCCCTAGAGGCTCAAGAAAGTGCCTTGGCTCATGCTTTGAAGCAAACCAGCTAGCTTTCTGGCTTTTTCCCAATATTGTGATAGAAACTGATACAACTGGAATTTTTGAGAGAGAGATGGTATTAACATTGCAAAAAGGAAAAGTATCAAATCTCTACTTCTGGCTGGAAGGAAAACCAGCCTAGCCTCAGCTAAGGCTGGAGCACACCCAGCTGTTCTGAGCCCGTCCTGCTTTGAGGTTTGGTTTCAGCTGCGGGGAGGAGGGAGCACTTGGCCATGAATCAAGTGCTGGTCTGGGGCCTAGCCTCCCAGGAGTGCTTGTGTGGTGGCCTTTGTCTCCTGCGGGGGGGGGGGGGGGGGGGGGGGGGGGAAGAGTCAAGCTCCTGGGTGTAAGGCTGTTTCCACAGCTGTGGAGGTGGCAGCCACCCTGCCTGCTGCGCTGGAGCCCCGGGGCGTCAACTGCAGCTGTGTTAAGGCCACGGTGAGAAGCATAGTGTGTGAGGACGTCGTATTTGTCGTTTTTTGAAAAGCTGTATTATTACTGCATGCTCCTCGTCGTGTGTGAGCGTGAGTCCCACCGGGTGAGCCGTGGTCACTGCGGCCAGGGCGAGAGCACGCTGCAGACGCCACACGCGTGCCTGCAGCTCCTGGTGTGGCTGCACCAGAGTTCAACCAGTCATGCCAAACCAATAGTAGGAGGTGTACTTTTTAAGAAATTAATTTATTTGAGTTGAGATATTTTTGAGATATAAAAATTGGTTGTATTTTTTAAAGCTCTAATTCTTGTAGACATTCTGTGGTTAAAAATTTGTGCTTATTATAAATGGTCATCTATGTTTTGCACTTGAGATTTGTGAAAAATAAAGTTTCTGTGGGAAGGTGACCTCTGGTTTCCTGATCACGGGAGGGAGGTGGTTGTCTGCTCAGCGGCTTGGGACCAGGTTTCCTGGCCTGCCTGCCCTGGGCTGGGGGAAGGGGATCACATCCCCCTCCTGCCCAGGTGCTGTAAGCGGCCCTCCCACGGAGCTGGGTGGCACCTGAATAGACCTGTCTAACTTGTGATTCTGATTGAAAGCACAGCAGAAGGGCCAGGATGCTCCCTCCTCTTTTGCGACGGTTATAACTGAGTCCTCCTTTGGTGCCCACGGGGGAGCAGATAGCAACGGGTAGCTCTTCCAAGCTCGAACTTCGGTGCTTCTGGCTGCCGCAGCAAGGCAGGGAAGCCCAGGGACTCTTAAGAGTGGAGTCTTCCCAGTAACCCTGCCCTCCACCCGTCTGGATAATTAAGGCTGAATGGCTAAATTGTATTTCATTTTTCCAGAACAACTATACGTAGCTGTGAGAAAGGTTCAGATTTAAACTCCTTAATAACTTGTCCCAGGATGACTAACACTGAGCCTTAAACAAATGTTGGTTTGTGAACAAGGTAAAAAAAGCAAAGTCCGAAATGGGGCCTGTGTGGGGCCTCCAGGGCGCTGGGTCCCTGGGCGGGCGGGCACTCCTCTAGAAGTCGGGCAGGCCGGGCAGAGGGAAGAGGGCGGCGAAGCTCTCCACCTCCGCCCTGAGTGCCGCCACAGCCCGCTGGTGATCCTCGGCCCCTGCCAGCTTCTCCGTGAA